TTTTTTTAAAGGAGGGGCAGTTAGTATGATATTAGTTGATGGTGGCTATTCTCTGTGCAACTTCCTGCCCTATGATCCCTCTGAAAGAGCCATCATGATCCTGACTTTCCCTCATTACCCTCTCTGGTTCCTCTTCTATGGTTTGTTTTCCCTTCCTCTTTGCTTGGTCCTACATCTGACTGGACCTGAGCTCTTTTCACGGTCTCAGGAGAGACCTGTGAAGACAGGCAGTCCTAGGAACAGAAGAGCTTTTTCAGCAAGACGCATCCAACCTCAGAGAGGACCTGCAGGATCCAGAATTACACCTGCCCACCCTGAAACAACAGAAGCTTTAAAAGTTTCCAAAAACAGTTTGTCAAGTAAAGTACCAGACATGATTAAGCTGTTTACCTCTTCTGAAACTCGAGTTTTCCCTATAGATGCTCAGAAGAGTCTTCCACTCTGCTACAACACACAACAAGCTCTGTATAGAAAGCATGTCCTAACATCTCTTAACATTACTGTGAACTACTCTATAGCTTCCACCCAGGTGGTAGTAGGGCACCAGCATTCACTTTTTCATGTTGTCTTGTCACAACCTCTATTCCCCGTTGCCACCTTTCACTTCCCCAGACGGTATTCCACGTGTTCCAGCAGGTAGGCCTGCAGGCATTTGTTTACCCCCACAACTATGCATTTTAATGAGTAGAAAATACTAATTTTAAAACACTCAAGATCTTATACACTTATACAAAGCAGCACCCTGATTTCGTCTGGATTAGAAATTATGTGCTTTACTATAATAGCAAGATAAGCATCCCTCAAAAGACAAGAACCACACAAAACATGAAATACCAAGGACAAAATAAGCCAGCTTGTTAAACTCCTACCAAGCGACCAGGAGTTCAGCTGGAATAACGTCAAAATTAATGAAGTGATGTCAGTTAGGATAGGGCCACCAAGCAAGGCACAGCAGTGCTTTGGTAGTCAAAGCACAGCCACTTGAAGGCAACTATCTTTGAACTCAATCTCCCCTGGCCCTGGAGCACCTAGGGAGAGATGTCACGCTGGGAGAGCACTGTGTTTGGAAAGAATGACAAACCATCCTAGACCCTTTAGGCACAATATAGCAGAGATTAACCAAGGAGTGATTTTTAAAGCAAAGCCAGACCCAGAAAATAAACAGATTTTGTTTCTGCACTGCAGGGTAGATGTTTCAGGCTCTATCCAGCTGGTTAATTCATTTGTGAGTGTTACTTGATGTGTGTCCGACTTCGCCTGCGGTTGCTCCTCTACAACGCAAGCCTTAGTTCTTGCCTCCTGTCTGTTGCCTGTCTTGGACACCACCAGGCATCTCAAGGGACACCAGGCAGGCAGTTGAATCAAGCCCTCCCTAGGGAGGAAAATGAACGGCTCTGGTGAAATGAAGAATTGCTCTTTATCTTTTTGGTAAACAGTAAGTATAAAACTGCAACTGTGACCACACAACATGTCCTGGAAAGCTTCTTCTATAGTCCCAAATCCTGGTAATTGCAAACAGAGCTTGGAAGAGGATGCTAATCACTATTATATAAAACATCTATCCTCCCATTCCTGAATTTATGCATGTTAATTCACTTTTACACACCTATTTTAATTAAATATCCCAATTCAAAAGGGTGCTGATCACCTCTCTTTACCATGGAAACTTTGAGTTTCAAGTCAGAGCACTTATCCGAGCACTCAAGATATGGATTTCGGTAGCTCCACTGAGAACCACAAAATAAAACTGACCTGACGGCCCAAACACAGCAAGCGTCCTCCCTGTGCAACTGATAGCCAGCAGCGTGTGCTCCAGGGAGTCATCTTTCAAGTTCAATTTACTATCAATTTCAATTTATTTTATGGCTGCCTACCAGTAGACCCTGAATGCTGATCATTACTGTGAACACTGTGTAACTGTGTGGCCTTCTAAGTTTTATTTCTTTTAAACTGGCTTACTTTTTCTTCCCTAAAATCTTCTTAGTAAAAGGAAGATAAACATGGAGTTAGTTGCTCCACGTACAGAAAATTACCTACACAAACACTGGGGATGTAAGGCAATAGTCACCTTTCCTATTTCGAAAGCAGTCAGCAAATGGTCATGTCTGAGACTATAAAGCACGCTCCATTCTTGATACATGGTTATCAGTACCCTGCAGGATTCAAAATATCAGCCCAATATTAAAAGTTGACAGGCCTTTAGGAAGCATAGCAAGTGTGAACTAGAGCCTCTTATTCCCCAAAATCCGAAAACTGGATGTTTACCTAGAACCTTACAATTGCAAAGATGGTATGTTCTTTCTCTAGTATTACAGGATTTGTGCTTATCCACAGTGTAATCAAATGTATTTCAACTACCATAAATCTTTTTCTACACCGAGGAACACAGAAAACATGTTCTGTAGTAAATAACATACTTCTTGTCTATATCAGATAGGTACTGCAAAGGAAAAATAGTGCTTTTAAGAAGACATCCATTTTAATTTTGTCAAAGATGCTGGTTGAAACCAGAGGCAGAATTGACCATTGGTATAAATCTGACTAGTTCATGATTTGCTGTAATTTTTATTGTATTAGAGGTCTATTCTATCCAGACGTACTGTTATTTCAGAATACCTGGCTCTATTTACAAGAGTCACACTCCTCATCCCCAAGGCCCAGTCTCATGGCTGTCATTTCTGTACTGGGTTGAACTGGGTTTATTTGTAACCAGCTGTTAAGCTGCCCTCCCGGATTCACTCAGACAGCAGCAGACAGGCATTTGGTGTAGGGCAGTCACATACAGTGGTGGCACTCCCTGAAGAAGAGGACACTGGTACTTTTGATACCGCTGTAAATAACATGGTCAGTTGGGGAGAAGCAAGGCCTTGTGCAAGGCCTTGTCCTACACCAGCTGCATGGCTTTTTGCACTCCCCTTTTCAGCTGACCAGAAGGAGCTGCAGGGAAGCCTGAGAAACTGGCCTGTTTCATCACATCCAAAAGCCATCCTGGCATCCATGGCAACTCAACATTTTTATTTCTTAGTTCTCTCCTGTTATAGCAATTGATGGGCCATTTTGGAAAGAAACTGGAAGCACTTAATGAAACAATTTTATCAGACCGGAGGTAAATGAAAGACAGCATATAATCCCAAGAGATGGGTGTCTGTAAATTGCAATAGCTGAGGGTTTTGAGAGTCCATGAATACTTATACGTACAGACTTCTTAAAACCAGCGATTCAATCCAGTATGACAGGTTCTGTGTCCTACTTGGTGCTCTCTGACAATGACCACGAGATGAGAAAGAAACACCTCTACCACTTTGATCTCGAAAGGCAATTTTGAGGTTTTCTAGTGCTTTATAAGAAAAGAGTAAAAATAAGTAGAGAGACAGAACTCGGATATCTGGACATCTGCCTTTCTATACCTTGGTTGCTAGAATGGTGAAGGTAGTGGAGAATTTTAAAAACACCATTTATTCTGCTTTAGAAGAGTGGCGAGCTCTGAGGGCTTCATTAATAGATTTTTATTATTTTTTTTTTTTTTTAAAATGAGGAAACTCCCCATACTCATCAGGGGAAAAGTTCCCCTTTATTTCCATAGTGCAAACAAACCACAGCTCAGCTATGGTTACTTAAATAAGCAAACTTGCTAACACCTGGAAACAGCTCAGAAAATCCCCCTTCCTGAGTGCTAAAAGAGCTCACACACCATACAGTGGCAATACACATGCAGGGTGAAAATTTTAAACGTATTATTTAAAAAGAAAGAAAACTTCTGCTAGCTCTTAGCATGTTAGACCACCCCTATTTAATTGTACTACTTGGAATTACTCTAATTTAGTTTCCAATGAATATAACTTTCTCCCCAGTTTCTCATTGCCAAACCTGGAGCAAGTGCAAAGACAGAAGGAGCCAACAAGCTCAGCATTAAATTATCTAAATATCTTCTATTGATAGTTTCTCCAGAAAATGTTACCAGTGATGTCACACATATATCAAGTATCCCAAGAAATAATATTAGCTCAAACAGCAATTTTAGTAAGCTGAAAACTTTTTCATTTTGCAAGTCAAGAGGTGACCTCACAAAAATTTCCTGTCTGAACAGCAAAGGTTTTTACGTATCAAAAAGATCAAATATCCATTATGTGTCACATAGTGGGGATTTCTGTTGTGATTTTAAAAAACCTTATATATTAAAATAAAAATCACTATTGTCATAATCATGCACAACTGACATGTAACGCAGCTATGGATTTGGACCACAGTGGCCTCCAGACACTATATAATCTCTGTGATGTAATAATGAAATCACTTAAAATACAAACAATATATGACAAACTTCTTTAGCCCCATATCAGTCTGAAGGATCGGACTGCCTCCCCTCATTTTGACAAAGTTCTGCCTTTACAGGTTGGTTTGGATATAAAAAAGGCGACGAAGTCCATTAACTAGAGTAAATGAGATCTCTAGAGTTTTAAAATAATACACGTGTTGTAAATCACAACAGAGCCAGTGCAGAAGTCATCATTACTGTTCAAATAATTAATGAGCCCAGGCATCCAAAATATGAAATACTATGATTTCAGCTTCTGAGTTACTGTATGGAACTGCTGCGCAGAGAAAGCAAAACACAGAAATTAAATTACCTTAGGTTTGGGAGAACTCTTTTTTTGTTTTTTTTTAAATAAAAGCATACCATCAAATGACTGGGAGCAGAGGGTTTGAATTCAAACTCACAAAGGTTTGAATTCAAAAAGTAAAAATCTTTGCTGAACCTAAAAATCATTGCTCAGAAACGTTTGTTGTGTGCAGGTACCTACCAGTAACTTAGCATCTCCAGGCAATCATGTACTTCTCACAACTTTTACCCATTGATTAGTGAAGAGTAATTATTTATAAATTAGCAAAAGGCGCAGTCAGCATATTTTTAGGACCCTCTCTATAGCTGTCCTATAGCTGGGAAGGGTTAAGCAACACATTTCTAAATCAGTGGCCACCAGCAGCCTTTAGCTTTGTACCTGTTTCGTCGGGCGAGCTCGGCGAGGCGCTGTCCTGGGACAGGGTGGTCCAGCTGGAGTCCTCATCGCTTGGGGCCAGGTTCTGAATTCTGTGGAGGGCGCAATCTGTTTTGGCCCCAGTTTTTGGGTGGTCTTTCTTAGTCTCAGGGCTTGACGACACCGTGGCAACTTGGCCATCCTCTGGGCTCGACAGCTTGTTTTGTTTCCGGGGCAGGGCTTCCCCGTTGACAATAAGGGTGGAAGCCTGGCTGTTGCTTTGTGCCGATTTATCTTCCATCGCAACAAAATTCTGCTCCAGCTCTCTAGCAGATGTCTCTAGATCCGCGTAGTAATTCAGGAAGCTCTTGGTCCTCCTTGGCTGCGAGGGTAATATTTCACAGCCAGAGGGATCCTGCGGGATCGGCTCTTTGCCTTCAAACTTCTCAGAAGTTACGTTTATGCCCGCAGTGGTACTGAGGTTTTTGTTGGGATCCTGCTGTCCCTGTTCGGCGGCTTTCCTCAGCTGGTTTTCCCCATTCTTCACCAGCTTGATATTGGCCGAGCCGTTCCCCAGAAGGGGCTGCGCCGCAGGGTCGGAAAGCCCCATGGCTGTCTGAATGTTAGTCAGGGCATATTTTTTCCTGCATTTTGGGGGCGTGCTGTTCTTGGCCTCCGTGTGCCTGATCTCTGCATTCAGGAGCTCGTTGTGAGAGGAGCGCAGGTTGAGGGTGTTGGGTGGGGTGGCCGGGCTGTTGCGGTTCACAACGTCCGTCGTGCTGCTGCTTGCCATAAACACTGCCAAGGCGTCCACGCCAGAATCGACTGGAAAAGCAAAAGAAACAGTCATGAAACACATTCATGATACACACTGCTCTCGCTAGGGCTTCTGGTAAAGGGATGCGGCACTTTAGGCAATTGTTTTACAGCATGAAAATTACCACAACCTAAGTGGGTAAGAGAACAGACAAAAGCTTAGCTTATTAAATAAGGAAAAACAGAGGCAGAAAAAATATAGAGAGATCATCAAGACCACAAAGCTGAGAAAAAGCAGAAAGCTTGACCCTATACGAGGCATTTTTAGGACAGTTTTTTCACATCTGATTCTGCAGCAGACAGGCTTGGGGACAGGAGAGGTGCCCTTTGCTAATGCCTGGGAGTCCAGAAGTCATCCATACCATCACCTCATTTTAGTATTCCAC